ATTGCTTTTGTAGACATGTTTTTCATCCAGACGAACTTAGTAGAAATTGTGCCTTTATGCTTCTAGAGTGAAATAACGATGATTTATAGTTGGACTTTCCTTGGCCTGCCAGCTCCCAAATAATGACAGAGACTTCTTACTGTGACAGCTTGGCCTTAGCTTAGGTTTATTCTCAACTAGCTCTTAAAACTTAAATTAACACATTTATATTAATCTATATTCTTTTACATGGTTCATTACCTCTCCTCAGTACTATATATCTGATTTCCTCCTTGTCTCACCACAGAATTCCCCACCTCTTATTTCTTCCCCAGGGTTCCTTTCTCTCCTTAGAAGTCCCATGTATACTCTACTGCCTAACGATTGGCTATTCAGGTCTTTATTAAATCAATCAGAAGGCACCTTAGACAGATGAGGTAAGACTAAGACACATCTTCACAGGGCACAAAAAGATTATCCTGCAGCAGTGATTCTCACCTTTTAGAAGAGTCTGAAATAGAAACTCCGTCTCTAACACAGTAGATCCACTGAGGCTTCTGACTCTTCCTCCAGACATCATCGAACATGTGAAGAATGATGAGGGAGGGGGGAGCGGAGAGGGGAGGAAGAAAGGGAGAGCGATTGTAGTTGCTATATTCAGCATCTATCATGAAAAGTGGGGACAGAACTCATAAAACAAAAATGTACTTTGAAGAGGAAAGATGCACGTGGACTATCTAACCAAGAATGCACTGATTCATAGCAGAGGGAAAAAAATTATAGCAAAGGGGGAAAATATGTCACTTCCTGTTGAAAGCCTGCTGTTAGGCTCACATAAGAACTATATATTTTTTTAATTTTGATTTTAAAAAATTATCAGAATTTGGTTTTATTCTCTATCACAAACCATAGCCAGAGGTAAGGGTCAATGAAGAATTTACCTAGCACACATGAGGAATAAAACAAACAGAAAAATCAGCATTCCCCAAGAGAGACCTCTGAATTAATTAAGGAAAAGTTACCTCTTACCCAAGATTCTAAATATGAGGAATCTGTATGACATTTATAAATGCATAAACATTTATAAATTTATAAAATATTTAAAAATTAACCACTAATTACATATTTGTATTTCTTCTTGTATAATTTTCACCTTTGTGAAGAATAAAACAGAAATAAGAGATAACAGAAAAACAAACTTGGAGACATGACTCTTCATGTTGGCCACTGTAAGAAGTAAGAATTCCTTTGCTGTAGTGCTTTCTGTGTAGCATGTGTATTCTCAGCACAAATGGCTTATGGTTCAGTTCGTGTACCATGCCAGCCTGACAGGGGCAATCAGAGCAAAACTTAGAAAATGTCACGTAACTAAACCTGATGTTGTTTTGGTTTTGTTTGCTTCTCTGAGGTACTTGTTTAGGTCCACACATGCTGGAAAGTGTTCTACGTGAGCTGTACCCTACTCCCGGGATTTGGCCTACGAGATGTCCAAGCAATCCTAACAAATGAGTTCTGCTCAGCTCTAGTGGCTAAGGACCAACTCACACACATCTTTTGCACAGTTTTCTGTGGCTTTCTCATCACCCCTGGGTGTCCCTGGCTTACCTGTGTCTAGTGAGGATCTGACTTCTGGACTCTGCAGCTGAGGACCTCAGGACACTGCTAACTAGAGGATGGATTGGGTCCAGAATGTAGACCTCCCGAACCACTCGAAGTCTCCTCTGATGAGCTGTGCTCAGTTCCTCAAGTGAGTTCTAGATATGTGTCGTCTTCCTTTATACAGAGGACTGAACATTCTCTAATTCCCATATCCACAGTCATGGCAAGACTTAACATATAAACCATATTTGTAACACATATACTTCCAAAAAAAGTCAAAATTTGTTTTATGTACCATCACTTAGTGAAAAGAGAGGGCATGGATTTGAAAGAGGGATGCATGCAACGGTTTAAAATGCAGACAGAGACTGTGTTTTCATTTCCCAAATGCCCAGACTCGAATAATCACACAGAAACTATATTAATTACAGCACTGTTTGGTCACTTTGGTGACCAAGAAAGCACTTGGTACCTTTTCTCAGTGCTGCATTTTCATCTTGCTTCCTCTGTATCTGGGTGGCAACTACACACTGAGCCTTTCCCCTTCCCACAATTCTCCCAGTCTGGTCGGCCTGTCTATATTTCCTGCCTGGCTACTGACCAGTCAGCATTTTATTAAACCAATATGAGTGACAAATCTTTACAGGGTACAAGAGCATTCTCCCACAGCATTAGAGTAAGGAAAGGGAAGGGAGAAATGGTATAATTATATTAGTCTCAAAGAATAAAATAATGTTTTTAAAAAGTCATAGTGGTCAATAGATTCCAACAAAGTCAAGTTAATGGGCATTGTTGGCCGCCTCCACTCCCCACCTGCAGGTTTCCTCTTTTGCTGTATATATGCCCTTTGTTAATACAAAGAGAACTGCAGATTCTTCCAGCTGCAGGGTACTTCTTTGATCTTGAGATTCTAGTTTTAAATGAGCTGTAGATTCATGCCCCTCCTAATAGAAACAGCTCAGAGCTTTCTTCTTCCGTTCCTTAGGTCTCTCCTACCGGATCGGAGGAGGTCTTTATTACACTCCATCCTGTCAACAGCATCCTGCTGAGCTTTCCTTGTTCTATGCATCTCGGTGTTTTGTCTGCATTGTTTTGCCTGGATGTCTCTGAACTGGAATTACAGACAGTTCTGAGTCACCATGCGTGTGCTGAGAATTGAACCTAGATCCTCCAAAGAGTCATAAATGATGAGTTATTGCTAATGTAGCAGCCTCTTGACTGAGTTTCTAAAAAGATAGGAACTTTTATATAAATATGAAAATGATCTTAAGTTTTTGTCAGTCACATTGCTTGGGATTCTGGGTTTTTAAAGGGCAGGGAACGTGGGTACGAGGAGTGTTGAGGCACCAGCTGATAGTCATTGAACTAAGTATGTTTCTCTTAAATCTTTCTAGGTTTTTAAAATGTCTAATTTTGATAAAAACCTTTCTTATTATAATGCCTAGAATACTGTATATAAATTAAAAATCCTTGTATAAATTAAACATGAAATTCAATAAATTAAAATTTAAGGTGTATTATCTCACTTCTATAATGTATTTGTATATTGCTTTATCCTTTTTCTTCCCATTCATATACACCTATTTTTCAAACATTACCTACAGTATTTCTACCAACTAGTAGAGGTCATTTATTAATATATGATTTACTTTGTGCAGAGGGAAGATTGTTTCAGCAAAATGTAATTATTTTAAGAGTGAAAAGAACTACTAAAGGATATAAATAAAATGCCAAATATCAGTGTCACCTTCGCTCACATATACACATATTTTAAGCCACTGAACCTTCCTATGTATATAGAGAAATACAGATCTTTATTCCAAAACATTGAATGGAAAGATAAATCCATCTTCCTCTTTCTAAACCTGTCTGTGAGCTGGGAAGCTAAGTCTATTTCCATGTGTGTTGCATTCTTTCTCAGAAGGCACACATAAGAGGCCTTAGGTGAGAAAGCATCCCAGGTCAATCTCTCTGGTCTCGAGTGCCTATCGGTTACCGTGACTGCTGCCTAAGACACACACATCAGTGCTTGGAGATGCTTTGTAGTACTTTGGGGATAGGAATCTTGGTAGGGCCAGGAATTCCTCTGGCACCTCACTGATCTCCCTGGAGGGCCTTCTGGAAGAAAGGCACAGGTTTTCACGACGTGGAAAAGTGCAGCTTCTTGGCCATTTCCAAAGTCTGACAGAATCCTTTGCTCCCTAGGTCTTGGCATTTCTGCCTCTCTTTTACCCACTGAAGGCCCAGTACGTATCTTTGTCCGCATCCACATCCACAGCACAATGCTGCCTCTTTCTCTTTCCTTACTCCCCCCCCCCATCATTTTGTTTTTCGAGACAGGGTTTCTCTATGTAGCCCTGGCTGTACTAGAACTCACTCTGTAGACCGGGCTGGTCTTGAACTCAGAGATCTGCCTCCTGAGTGCTAGGATTAAAGGCATGTGTCACCACCCGTGATGCTTTCTTAAAATGAAACCTTAGAAGAAAAGTCTTCAGATGTACCTGGCATCAAAAATCCTCCCCAAAGAAAGGGAACACAAAATCATGTTTACTTTCCTTAACATAGAATAGGGAAATAGAACAGAATAAAATTATACTACCCAATAAATATACTGCTTGTTATCATGATAGTCTCAAATAATAGGAATGCTCCTTTTCTTTTTGGTTATCTGGAAGGTCATTCTCCACCATTATGTAAATATATTATGTACATATGTTATGTTATTATAATCCATGGGATGAACTTTTCAAGCTGACTGACATCCCCCTCTGCTCCCGTCTCTCAATTCTCACCATGCAGCAGGTAGAGGAGAGGACTGGATACAGACTCGGAGGCAAAGGCAGCGTCTTACACTACAGATAGCAGTGGCATCTGCCACATGGAGAGCATGGTGGTTTCCAGCCTGCATTCCCACGGATCTGAAACAGACCAAAAGTCAAGGAAGGAGCCAAGCGCGAGGGGCCTCTCCACTCCATTTTGATCACACCAGCTGTGCTAAACAACAACAAAACACAGCAATCAACTTTGTTTATGTGTTCAAATCTACATGAAGTTGTGTTTTAATGGAGGCGTCCATTCTACAAATGTGAAAATCAGGACCACAGTGATAAAGGTGCTTGTTACACAATCCTGGCGGGTTAGGACCCACATACGAGGCAGAAGGAGAGAAATGACTTCTGAAAAGTTGTCATCTGACCTCTACACACATCCAGTAAATGCATTTCTGCAGTCACACACAAACGAACATGCACACACAATAAAAAGAAATAAAATTGCGGTGGTGGCACACACCTTTAATCCCTGCACTTGAGAGGCAGAGGCAGGTGGCTCTCTGAGTTTTAAGCCAACTTGGTCTACAGAGCAAATTCCAGGACAACTAGAGCAACACAGAGCAACCCAATCTCGAAAAACCAACAAAGAAATCATTGAAGAACATATTTATTATGTGCACATTTGAAATACTATTTTCTATTAAAGGTCTTTCCTATTCAATATTATAATTCCATGGTATAGAAACTAATCCCCTCCTTCAAACATTATGTTGGCTGATTATCATTTGAAGACTCCAAGTGATAGTCCAAGTTTAGGTGACTCATTTAGATTCTCAGTGTTTTTAGTCAAAGGATTGCAGCTGAAGGAAGCAGATACGAATCTTGAAGCTCCCTAGACCGAAGCAGGGTCTTCTAGCTGTTGTCACCCAGCCTGCCTCTCCACTCCACAGAACAGTGACGATGAACACACCAAGTAGCTCCAGCTTAGTTCCGAATCAGGCCTGGATTTCACAAGAATTTTACACACTAACTCTTTATTGCTGCTACTTTCTGGTTACAGTGATCATCACACAAATTTATTTTAACCATTCTAAGACTTCAATAACAATACAGATTACTCAACTTTAGTAGTAAATTATTTTCAGATAACATTAAAATTCACCTTATTAGGCAACAGTATCTAAACATAATTTTAGATAGTTAACCTCATTTTATCTCTAGCTGAATAACATGTACACATTACAATGTTTTCTGAAATTAGTGACTCCCTCCATAAGACAAAATTTCACTTGAATCATCATAGCAGATATTTTACAGCAACGTGTTATTTTATAATACTTGGCTTCTGCTTGCTAAAAACATAGGTGGGTAACATTTTTTTTCAGTTTCACACATTTTAGTAACATATAATTCTGAGGTTTCCAGGACAGAAAGTTCCCATTTTTAATCCTACTGCTACGAATTTAAGAATATGTTTTATTTTCTGCAATGTAGGCATTACAATTGTTATTTTTCTCCCATTAGTAGTGAATACTAAAGTTAGAGTAGTCTAGTTTAGAGATGGTTTTTTCATTAGAAAAGTCTGCCCGGTCGATGCGAGAACTGGGACTCCCAACCTTGCTTAGCCAGGCCTTCCTGCAAAACAGAAACAAACAGGAATGAGCTTGCGCAGCACACATCACCAGACCCGTGAGAGGTAACAAGGGGAGTGCACATTTGCAGTGCACATTTGCACGTGATTCTCAATGAAGGGTGTTATCCTGGATACAGAACGTTAATTAAAATAAACAAATTGCTTACTTTGTATATGCTGTTCTAAGAATACTACAAAATAAAATATACAGTTACACATGGGTAAAGAAAAGGTAATAATTTAAGCAACTTATTTTATAGTAAAATCGTTATCCCTGCCCTAAAAGAAACACTTCAAGGCCTTTATTACTTAGCTCTCTTAAGTTTGAAAATATTTTTACAAAGTGGTTAGTAGTCAAAGTAATTAATTCACCATTCTTTTCATTACCAAGTATATGGTAAACTCATATGTATGTGTGCATGTGTGTGTGAGCGTGTGTGTGTGTGTGTGTGTGTGTGTAGGCTAGAGAACAACTGAGTGTTGATCCTCAGGTGCCATACACTTTCTGTTTGTTTTTTTTTTTTTTTAAGACAAGGTCTGTAAGCGGCCTGGAACTCGCCAGATAGGCTCTGCTGGCCTCTGTATCTCCATATATATCCAATATACATAATATCCACATATGTATAAATGTATGCATATATACATACCATCACCACATCATCAAATGGTATAGGTCACCCATTCACTAAGTACTTAGGAGGCATTTTATGCACGGCATAGTCTACGTGCTTGATAGCATACATAGCTCCTTACAGTGCAATTTGTTCTCTCAGAAGCTTACGTCTGCTAGGTAAGTTTGGAGAATAAAGACGACTATAAGGTAGAATGTGACATGCAAAGAGCTTTGTACAAAGGAGAGCTGCACCAAAGGCGTGCACACTGGAACGCACTTGGGTAGATCACCGCGAGAGCAATAGCATTTCAACTACACTCTTAAGAAGATGTTAGCAAATCTGCAAATCTTAGATAAGCCTGACTGAAATAAAGAGGTGCTGGGAATGTTATATGTATAAAAATGGTTCAGGTTTTGAATAACTGAAAGAAAGAAAGTCTTTAATGAACAAGTAGTAAAATAGAAGATTTATTTGGAATATTCTTCTTGTACAGACTACTTTAAACCAATGTATAAGATGTTTATGCAATAGAAAAATGGGTAAAAACTATGAGCGCTTAAAAAAATAAATATAAATGATGCTGGTAAATATCTGAAAATGTTCACAGTTTTATGTTAAAATCTCAAATAAAGAATGAGAAACTATTTAGTGTGTGTGTGTGTGTGTGTGAGAGAGAGAGAGAGAGAGAGAGAAGGAGAGAGAGAGAGAGAGAGAGAGAGAGAGAGAGAGAGCATGTGTGGGGATTAGAGGAAAATGTGACTGAGTTGGGTCTCTCCTCCTTCAACACTGGGGCTGGGGACTCAATCCAGGTCTAAGACTGGCAGCAGGTACCTTTGCCTGTCAGGCCATCTTGCCAGCCCTTATAACACTCTCAGTAATTTAAATTTTGTTATATAGAATTTCATAAATGAGAACTGAATGCGCATCATTTTTACCACTTTCCCCTCCAATTTCCGCCATGTTCCCACCCCTCCCCCTCAAGTTTATGACTTCTCTCTATTATAAATTTTAATAATTTTATAAATTAAAAAATTAAGCTTTATAAATAGCGATTTATAAATAGAACTGGTGAGCCCATTTAGTATTGCTTATATGTATAAGTATTTAAGGTAGACCACTTGGGTTTGAATACCCTTTCAGGGCCTTGTCCCTGGAGAGGACTGATCTTCCCTCTCTGAACTGCCGTCAATTGCCCACTGCTCTTTATTTAGGGGTGGGGACTTGAGAGAGTTCCCCTGTCCACATTAGCATGTCAACTAGTGTTGACCGTTGACCATGAAGGTCTTGTTTAGGTGGAAGTACTGCTGAGGCTTTAAGGGTACAGTGCTCCGTTATATACAGAAGACACTGTCTCACAGCAGACAGACGTCCTGGTCCTCTGGCCTTACAATCTTTCCACCCCTTCTTCCGAGATGTTCCCTGGGTCCGCGGTGTATGGGTGGCCTTTGTGGATGTGTCAGCTGGGGCTGGGCGTCTTCACACCTCCTATACCAACCAGACAAATGATGCTGTGCAGAGGTGTGTGGCCTTTACTCAGGAGACTGCGCTATTGAGGCCCCTGAAGAGGGTGATGACAATGGCCAGTCTTCCAGCAGCACTCCCCGCACCTGGAGGGAATATAATGGCACTTTGCAGCCTCTATGTTCCCCCCCCCCCAGCTCAGGGGGATGTTGAGGAGGAAGGACAAAGGGATGATAACTGGGGGGACCGCCAAGGGAGGTTGCAGAAAGCAGGCACACTCACTAAGTTTAGTTTCTGTTTTAGATTTATCTGTCTGTACATATGTCTGTGTGCTGTAGCATCTCTGCTAGTGGAGGTCAGAGCACAAGCCCTGGGGTTCAGTTCTTTCCTCTCGTCATGTAGACCCTGGGAACCAAACTCCCGCTACCAGGCAGGGCGGCCAGCACCTGCACCAATAAGCCATCTTGCCAGCCTACTTTTTCTTTTTTTAAGGATTTATTTATTTATTATGTATACAGTGTTTGCATAAATGCCAGAAGAGGGCACTAGATTTCATTACAGATGGTTGTGAGCTACCATGTGGTTGCTGGGAATTAAACTCAGGACCTTTGAGAGAACAGCCAGTGCTCTTAATCTCTGAGCCATCTCTCCAGCCCTCGCCAGCCTGCTTTCTAGAAAAAAGAGAAGATACATCTTCTCTTTCCAGAAAGGAATGTATACTTAAAAATTGAAGAGCAATTTGTGTGTAAAGAGACACTTACATGAAATAGCCTCCATATTCAGTTCACAGCAATGTGGGAGTTAAGCTAATTTACCGCACTGTGGCAGGTGCACAACAGAGCGATGGGAGGCCTTAAGGTTACTTTGCGCTTCCTTGGATGCTGGTCCTGCTAAACTGGCCAAAGCCTGCTAAGCCAGGGGTCAATGTCTGGGCCAATAGTTTCTCAACAGCGACAACCCATCTGAGGGGAGATTCAAATATTTTAACAGATGTTTTTGTATGAGAATCTCACCTCCCCTCACCTAAAATGGACATGTCTACCAGCTTGCCCCTGATTTCTGCTTCTGTGTTGATTAGGATGAGCCAAATAACTGGTTTCCCTTTTCAATCCGATGTTGGTCTCTGAACACCTTTTCTCTTGGATCTATTATATTCTCCAGGAAAAACACACCCAATATTCCTGCCCACAGGGCATAGACCTGGACAGCCGTCCTGGGAGTCTGTGAAGGTTATGGCCTTGTGCCAGCTAGTTTTATGCCAATTTGACACAAGTTAGTCCTTTAGGGAAGAAAGAACCTCAGTAAAGAAAACACCCTCACCAGATGGGCCTGCAGGCGGGGCTATGGTGCATTTTCTTGATTGGCATGAGAGTGCCCAGCTCACTGTGGGTGGGCCCACCACTGGGTAAAAGGTCCTGGGTTATATAAGAAAGCAGACCGGGCAAGCCAGGAAAAGCAAGCCAGTGAGCAGCAATCCTCCATGGCTTCCACTTCAGCTCCAGCCTCCAGGTTTCTGCTGTGACTTCCCTGAATGGTGGACTACAAGTTGTAAGATGAAATACACTCTTTCCGCCCAGGTTTGACCTTGGTCAGTGTCTTATCCCAGCAACAGAAACCCTGGCAGGCCCGGTGCCCATTAGATCTTAAGTATGTCTCTGACAAAGGTGTGCAGCTCAGCTTTACCTCACTCTTCCCAGTTCTCAGAGTTGCTGTAACTTTTTCTCCCTTCCTTTGACTTTATAGATGTTTAATCCTTCAAGAAAATCCTTTTTCCTAGTAAGTGGAGTTTATGTAGGGGTAAAAGTAAATGCGTGTGTTCAAAATGTAATATCTTTAAAATATGGTTTTATCCTTTGTATTTGCAACTTCAGGGCCAGCGAGATGGCTAAGCAGATAGAGGCATTTACTGTCAAGCCAGACAACCTGAGTTCAATCCCTAGCATCCACGTTTGGAAAATGAAGCCTGAAAATTGTCCTCTGCCCTCCATGTGTGTGCAGTGATGTGTGTCCCACAACCCTCACAGACATCCCTGCCTCCCCTCTCCTTTACATAATAAAGGTGTTTTAAAAAGGATGTCTTTAGGGGAGGAGAGGGAGTGGGGGGAATGGGAGGGTATGGGGAGGAGGGGAGGAAGTGGAAATTTTTATAAACAAACAAATAAAAAAATTAAAAAAATAAAAATAAAAAGGATGTCTTTAGCTTTTGTAGAATTACGTAAAAGATCTCCTAATTTTTCAGTTAGACATTTTCTCCAGTACTTTTTAACTGAATAGCTTAACTTTGCCCACACACTTAAAACGCAGTTCCCAGCACATTCAAGACTAGCATATGCTCCTAATAATTTCCTCGACATTCTGTTTGGCTGCACTGGGATCTCTGCTCTCTAAGCCAGTACCAACACAATAACTTTAGAGCACATTTTAATTCAGTCACATCCCTATCTCCTTCAATAACATTACTTTTGAATGTTGTCATATATTGACTTCTAGATCGTAGCATAATTTTAACCATTCCTGTCACATTTCCTTTTAAATATTACACCCATTGGGAGAAAACTCACATTCTGTATTAGTTACTTGTGACAAAATATTTTATAGAAACAACTTAAAAGAGGAAAGAATTATTTTGGTTCATGATTTCAGAGGTTTCAGTCCAGGCTCCCGTGGTCCCATACACTTGGGCAGAACATCGTGGTGTCAGAGGCATGGAGCTTCTTTGCCACATTATGGACAAAAAGCAGAGAGAGTGACAGAAAGGAGCCAAGGACAAGATGCCCCTGAAGAATGGTCCATACCAGGGATCTACTTCCTTTAGGTAGGCTGTAAGTTAACCCTAAAGTTTCCATAATTTCCCAACATAGGGCCACTAGCCGGAGATCTGGATTTTAGAACGTGATACTGGGGGCTGAGGGGCACTACCTACACAA